TCATGAGTCACTTCTAAAACTTTCCACATCTCCTTAGCTGTTTTATTATTTGCAACTCTAAAATACTCATCTCTTCCTAAGGAAGTTGTGATTAAGTTTTTAGTTTTAGCATTCCAATTTGCATTATCTAGCTCATCTTTAATAAACTCTCTCATATTCTTAGGAACTTGATTCTTATTTTCATCTAAGATCATTGGGGCTTCATATGCTTCTTCAACTATATTCCACACCCTAAGATCATTAAATTCTACGAAGATAGTTGGTCTATTTGTAGACCCTCCTTCAAGTGGCAATTCATTATTCAAAGAAGCCATTGGATTCTAGATCTTTTACTCTTTGGTTTTCACCTGATTCAGAGAATAATGCTCTGATGTCAGGAGGGTCCAGGGGGAAGCCTGTGGCAGGGGGACAACCACAATGGGCTAAGCTACATTAACCATAGCAAGTGGGTCCGATACCACATCTCAACCTAAAATCTTAAGTCATTGGTTTTATGGATCCATCCACTTATATTCACTTCACTTAGCCCATTATCAACCAATGTGGAACTCATCATACTTGAATATCCCAACACAATCCAATTAGATTTGCAGTTTTTTTTTTCGGTTTTTGATTTTTTGGTTCGGTCATCGCGGTTTAAATCGGTTTGAATTGCTTGATGAACTCCCCTACTAGCAAGCCTCCATGGCTAAACCAACTCTTTTTATTGGAGGCATCAAAATAAAATGATCTTAACATGGTAAAAAAAATTGTCAAAAAGTTTAGAAGATGTTTATTATTTTCCATAACTTACACAAAAAATTTGATTAAATGACAATGACATTCAAGTTGACTACAAAAGGTCCTAAGCCAAATATGAAAAGATGCCAATTATTTTCCATCTAAGCCAAATATGAAAAGATGCCAATTATTTTCCATAGTCTCAAATTGTTATCTGCTATAAAAGATGCTAATCTTTTTTAGTGTAATATCCTAAGCCAAATATGAAAAGTCAAAACTAATAAGAAAAATAAATATATAATCATCTTTAGATGCCAAAAGATAAATTGATAAAAGTGAAATGTACAAAATCAGAAATGTTATTATTATTTTTTATCTGAAATACTAAATACGGTGATCTGGACAAAATCTCAAATGACTAAAATCATACTATAATAAACATTATATGACTAAAGCAAGCATAATAAAACATAATAATCAGAATTAAAGGCTACATCTTCGTTACACATCTTGCGTGATTTCTAGTGCATCTTGCACCATTTTAGTGGTTTCTGGCGCATCTTACGCACTGTTTCGGCGCTTTTTGCGCTGATGAACAATACCACGAACAATAAATTTTTTTATTTTTTTATTTTTTTACATTTGGATATTACATTACACATATTGTAACGCCCCAATTTGTAACCGATTTGTCACCATATTTATGGTACAAAATCTCATCTTAAATAATTACTGACAGTAGAAGACTTTACATACAAAATCATCATTACCTTGTGTAATGAGGTGAATAAACTTTTTTTTCCTGATGTATTGCCATACATAACTCAATTTCCATATTATCTTAAATCGTATAGTCCCATATCTATACAAGATTCTTACTTAAACATCCGACGACCAAAATTAACGGTCAAAGACTATCCGAATATGATAACTTGTACCATTTCAACAGTGTCTATCAGACAACATAACAGCTGAAAACTGGACAATCCAGAGATCAAACCCTACATCTTGAGCAATCCCTGAAACTCGGAAAAGTCTAGACAGACAAAATATTCATATCAATAGACTTAAAATCCAACCATTGATTCCTATAGAATTTGGCTTCGTGCCAATACACGCACACACACACACACACACACAAACATTTACATAAAGAAATCCAAAATAGATAACTGACCACATCATATACCTATACATCTCGTAATATATACAAACATATCCCAGATACATACATCAAACTATACATATGCATGATTATGTGTCATGTTAGAAAATATCTGTATAGTTATCCCAAAATATCATATCAAGACCTATGCAGTTGAGACACCTAGTCCTATGCAAGCTCCTTGCCCTTGGAAGGCTCTCCTGTTATTGCTGGAACACCTGAAATGTAAGTCCCCAAACGGGGTGAGATACAACTAGCTCAGTAAACTTAGGGTTTATAAAGTAGTCTCCACCCATGAGTTCACTATCTACATGAAAGGTCAGATACAAAATGTAGCAGACATTATTTAAGCAGAAATAACATATTGACATCCAAGAGTTATATTCCTCCATAAGATAGTCCAAACATAATCTCCGAGAATATAAATTTCTACAGAACATAACAGAACAAAACGTAACAGACATAACGGAGCATAATATAGTATAACATAACATAACTAAGATACATCATCCAGTAGTTAAAATCTCTACTCAGATAGCCCATACAAATATCTCTGAGTACATACGTCCCTCAAGAGAAACCAGAGTCTACCGAGAACTAGAGCACTCATGGAAGTTAACAAAATCTCCGAGAACATAAGTCTTTACGGAGAACAATAGAGTAACAAAATCTTCCGAGCATCATAGTACCCATAGAAGAACACCAAGTACATATGTTCATTGGCCAAGAACCGGATACCAAATATAACATATCATATTGAATTAGAAATATCATATAATCTTATAACATATCTTATTCACAAATCAGACAACAAGAATATATATCATATAGTCATAAATCTGTAACCTACATGAAATGCAACTATACTAAGTATCTAACAAAGACAGAAATACAGACATACAGATATCCAAACCATTATCCCACTGGATTATGGTGGAACAAACAAGTTAGGAGATATCTCCTTAAATAAAGAGATTACCTCTTGAAGTACCAAAACCAGAGCTTACTTGCATTTCAAGAAATTACTCCAAAGTTCCCAAAATCTAATCCTCAGACACTAGGTCACTTTCCTCCAACCTAGTTCAACATATAACCGTAATCAATACCAATTAAGGTTCTTTTGCAAGTGTTAAGCACCAAAGTCTAACACTTGAATATTCACAAACTTGTACAAATCATGATTAGGTTGGTTCCATCGAATGCTTTCTTATCAAATTAGACAAGTCATTTCATGTCAAAACACAAGTCATACTTATTAACTCACAAGTCAAATAATGGACCCAAAACCTACTTAGGGTGTGCATGACAACCATTCTGTTCCCTAGCACTGTTTATAAAAAGAAGCAATTGTTTTCTATTTCTGTGCCTTAGAACAGTTTCTGAGAAAAAAAATGTGCTTGATAACATATTTTATTTTTATTCCGAGAATGAGAATTGTGTTTGACAACACAACAAATAATATAATAAAAAATAATTCCTATTAAGCAGAAAAAAATTCGGATCATCACTTTCTTTTCCATATGGTGTGGTGGTGGTGGTGGTGGCAGCAACAGTGGTGATGGTGGCAGCAACGACAGTGATAATGGTGGCGATGGTGGTGGTGGCGGTGGTAATGGCATAGTGGTGGTGGTGACGACAGTGACTGCAATAATAATAGTGGTAGTTGGTGGCAATAGTGGTAGTGGTGGCGAGGTAATGGCGGCAATGGTGGTGGTGGTGACTATAGTGGCTGGTGGCGATGGTGGCGATAGTGGTGATGATAGTGGTGATTGTAATGCCTATGACGATGGTGGTGATGGCAGTGGCTGCGATTGTGGTGGTGGTGGTGATGATGGTGGCATGATGGTAATGGTGGTGGTGGTGATGGTGGTGGTGACAAGAAGATAGTGGTGGTGGTGGTGATAATGGTAATGGTGGAGAGTGATTGAAAGAGACGAGTGTTTTTCATTTTGTGCTCGAGAACAAAAAAGAAAAAAAAAATTTATTCTTTTTTTTTTTTAATGTCAAATCGGTTCATCCTAGGGAACAAAAAAATAAATCGGTTTTACCAAACGAATTGTCTATCCATTTTTGTTCTCTGGAACAGAAATTAAAAAAAGAACTGATTTCAGAAAGATTGCCATGCACACCCTCAGTCTTAACCACTAACTCAAAGTCATTTATAACTTGACATAGGCTTAAAATACTACCAAAATAGCTTAGCAACCATAATCTAAAGTCTAACATACTTTCAACCAATTAATTCCTTAATGGCCGAATGTGGGTCACCAAAAGACTCATAAAGAATTTCCTACCAAGTAAGGTTGACACACCTTGATTGTACTAGAAATAGCCTTAACATAACCTTTCAAGCATCCAAAATAATTTCACAAACTTTTAAACCATTGTTCCTCAATATGACCGAAACATAGAACCTATGATTCATGGACTTCACAAACTTTCCAATGACAACCAATTAGTCCATTTCACATTTCATAATCTAATGATCATTAACCACACTATTAAGACCACACAAGATAACTTCCTACACGGTTATTCCATATAATGACCGAATTTAAAATATAAACAAATCATAGACTTTACAAATTTTGATATAACAAATTCATGTTCCACTTACACAAGGAATATTAAACACCATAAAGTACAATACCACATGCATTTTGCACTAGATAGCCAAATTGTACATAGTGAGGTTCATGGATTCCTACAAGTTCTAATGACTTTTCCATGATTCAAACAACTCAAAACTCATTAATAAACATATCCAATCAAAACGCAATATTTAACATGATCATCAAGTGTCATATTTTCATGAAAATTGAGCACATAACTTAATATAATTTGGGTAAATTATATTAAATTATGTGCTCAATTTTCATTTGTATTTAAAAAAAAATTCTTTTATTGGCGATCCTTTATCATAATATTTTCTGAAAAAAATAAATAAATAAATAAAAAAAATAAAAACGAAAGACATCACGAGGATAATACGACAAAGATTCAAAAGGGCTTTTTGTAAACACGAAATTTCCATCCCCAAAACATCATGTACGTTTACAATACGTGCCCTGTTATGTTCTCTTGCTCTGAAATTCTGTGTTTCTAGGTTCTCAAAGGTTGCCACCACCATCATCATCATCATCATCATAATCTTCTTATTCAGCAACCACACAATAGCAATGGTGATAGAGATTGTGGAGCCTAACACTTGCATTAGGGGTTGCTGCACCAGCTCCTCTATTCCTCTGCATCTCCCTCCTTCCTCTTATACTCTTCTCTCACCAATTGCCCGAGGTAAACATAAACCTCTCACTCCATATTTCAAGCTTCTTCTTTTTTCCATAGATGTTGGATTAGCAGCAGAAATGTGGTTTTTAATTTAATTTAATTTATGAATAATGAAGATGAAGAGATGTGACCTGTTGGTAGTTATTTCAGCTTATATTTCAATAGAAGATGATTATTAATATTATGAATTTTGATGTAAATAAATGGTAATCATAGGGGCCGAGAGTGTTGTTTATGAAGGGACTTTGGATGGCAAGAAGGTTGCTGTGAAGAAACCCATCTTGTCAATTTCAGAAGATATTAATAAGTTTCATAAAGAATTGCAATTGCTTTGGTCTGTCTTTCTCTCCCTCTCTCTCTCACACTCCATCAGCCTCTATTTGTTTATGTAGCTTTATACATTTTTTTTTGCACATCATGTAATGACATTTACTATTTTCCCTTGCATTTTCATATGCTGAAGTGTAAATGTGATGTCTTGAATAATGTAGCAAGCTAGATCACCCAGGAATAGCAACACTAATCGCCGCCCATGCAAAGCCACCCAATTACATGTTTTTCTTCAAGTTGTATGAATCTGCGAATCTTGCACAGAAGTTACATGTGGAGGAATGGATCCCGACTATCAATCATGCCCTTATGATAACAATGCAGTTAGGTATAATTGTGATTTCAGCTTGTATAGAGTTACTATGAAATGTCAAGTGATAATAATTACTTGGCCTAGTTGAACTTTTGCCAAAAAATATTGTGCAAAACTTTAGCCGTTTGTCTTGTCGAATCAAGATGTATATGAATTGGAATGACGGGCTGAATTGTGGAGTATAAACATCGTGATGTGTGCAAATGAGAACATCTTTTACCATAAAGCAACAAATGATTTTCTAGGACTATAGCAATAGATGTTTGTTTACATATACATGGAGCAGGAATATTTTTGCAAACTACTTGTATCTGCTTATTTTTTGATGTTCCCGCCATCTTAAACTGCTATCCATAGTAGTAACACTAGTATAGATAAATTAATTACATTTGTAAAGTGTTTTACAATGTTATTTATAGCAATTTTGAATGGTTATTTTGGCGTTAAAGCTTTCTTCTGAAGCTGGAATTATTAAGTAATTAAAAAGGACAAACCCCGGTGCCCAAGGTTTTCCCGACTTGCGAGGGTAACGGTTACAGTTGATTGTACGCAGCCTTACCATTGCATTTTTGCACAGAGGTTGTTTCCCATACTTGAACCTGTGACCTACTAGTCACAAGGAGTAACTTTACTGCTGCTCCAAGGCTCGACCTCTAATTATTAAGTTAATTAAGATGCCAAAAAAAAAGCCTTGGTGCAAGTGGTAAGATAGCTCCTTTGTGACTGGATAGTCATGGATTCTAGTCTAAGAAACAGTCTCTTTGCGAAAATGTAAGGGTAAGGTTGCGTATAATTAATCCTCACAAAGTCTAGGGAGCCTTTGTGCACTAGAATCTGCCCTTAAAAGAAGTTGTAAAATTTATAAGTATTCACAAATATTGACTAGGAATTGTTTTCCTTCAACCTTTTATAACCATCGTATTTAACAGCTTAAACCATGTAAGGGATAGAAGCTAAGAATATAGAGTGAGTGACAGTTTTATCAAAAAGAAAAAAGAAAACGAAGTCATTGACAGATTTTCCCCCTTTCCTTCTACTTTCTTTTTCCAGCATTGGCTTTGCAATATCTGCATAACCTCGGGATTGTACATAGAGATGTGAAACCAGCAAATATTCTTGTAAATGTCTCCCATATCTTTTGATTTTCTGGTGGTTTAGACCTCTAGTCTTTAGAATTTGATATACTATGCTCCATGTATGCACTACCTTACTAACCTTATGTATTTGTGATGCAGCTTGACGAAAATCTTCGTCCCCACCTTACAGATTTTGGTTTGGCAGAATACAAGAATGATCTTAAAGGAGTTTCCCTTGAGAATTGGAAGTCTTCTGGAAAGCCTACTGGTGGTTTTCACAAAAAGAATATGGTTGGAACACTCATTTACATGGCACCTGAAATATTAAGGAAGGAGCTACATACAGAAAAATCAGATGTGTACAGTTTTGGGGTATCAATCAAGTAAGAATTTGAGATTTTTTTTCTTCCATTCATGTTTGTTTATGGTTACGCAAGAAAATTGACTATAATGAAGGTAGTGTCATTGGATATCTGATGCTGTTAATGATCTACCATATTTGGAACTGGTTGCTACAATTTTACCTCAATACAGTATTCTGTTTTTGGTTTGAGTTGATTAGCTTGGCTCTCAAGTTCGAAAATGCATTTTAGAATTGAAATTTACCAACACATTTTTGTCCGTCTTTCTTTTGGAAAGCAATGGGGAAGTCTAGCAAATCAGTGATGGACTATCATCCACTTTTTTTTTTCTCTTATTTTTTCAAATAGAGAATATTCATACAAACAGAAACATGTGCAAGACATAATAACATTTTCTGGATATTATTACTGCATGTCAACCCTAGTCATGCTAGAAGGCAGCATACTTTAAGTATTTGTTTGGGTTGACACTTTACCGTATAAGCTGGTCATTATTTTATGAGAGACGCTGGGGTTCAATGCTGTTAATATACAAGATTTATGGGACCCAGAAGAATGAAAAGAAAAATTGAGGCAAAGCAATTGAAATAGTTACAGAATTAGTTAGGCCATTAAAGTTGTTAAGTTGGTTGAAGTTGTTAGGAGCAGAGACCTAGCTTAAATAGAAGGAGATTGGTAGAAGAAGCATTCGTTAAGATTTTCATCTTTGGGAAACGTGTAGTGGGTCTGTTGTTTAAGGGATACAATTGGATGGAAAATTCTCTCCTTTGGCCTCTGTCATTTAATCAACCATTAAATAACCGTTCTTCCTCGTTCTCTCTTCTCTCTTATGTAAGAAAGCATATATAGATGAAAATCTTCATTTATGTTTTGCTTTGTGAATTTTAAACCTTTATTGGCTCTGTTGCAGTGAACTCCTTACTGGTGTTGTGCCATATACTGATCTTCGTGCAGAAGCACAGGTCAGCCTATCTATCTCATGTGTATGTAGTTTGAATTTACTGCTTGTATATAGTGTTAAAATTCTGTGTTGTATTATTCCCCAATAAGGTGAGATTTACAATATATACAAGACAACCTAAACGTAAAAGAAGAAACTAATAGTTACAATGATGACCTCTCAACATCAACAACACCTTTATTCCAAACTACTTGGGATCGGTGGTAGATGAACCCAAATGTTAGCCAAGAAAATATTGAGAGGAAGAAAAGAAAAAAAGTAAAAATAAAATAAAAAATAACACATCAACATCAACAACATCTTTATCCCAAATTAATTGGGGTCGGTGGTAGATGAACCCAAATGAAAGATACGAAAGGGTTGAAAAAAGATAAAAAAAATAAAATAAAAATAAAATAGTAATAATATAATAATATATATATATAAATATATAAATATAAATATAAAAGTGATAAAAGAAGGAGAAAAGAAAAGAGGGGCGGGGCGGGGCGGGGGGGGGGATGAAGAGGAAAAAGGACTAAAAAGGGACCATCTGGAACATAGGAATAACAACGAGTTTAACCCTCCACCATGCATATAGATTTTCTCCATTTTGTTTTAAGGCACACCGTCTGCCAATCTATATCCTAATCCATTAAGTCTTGTTTTACTACCTTCCCCCAAGTAAGTTTCAGTCTACCTCTACCTTTCTTTGTGTTGAGCTCTTGGTAACAAACTTTTGTTCTTACGGGAGCATCCAGGGGCCTTCTCATTACGTGCCCAAACCACCTCAGTCTATGTTCTCTCATCTTTTCAACCACCGGTAGGACTCCTACCTTTCGTCGAATATCTTCATTTCTCATCATATCTATTCTCGTATAACCATACATCAACCTTAACATCCTCATCTCTGCTACTCCCATTTTATGCTCATATTGCCTATGTACTGGCCAACATTCAGCTCCATATAGCATTGCAGGTCTTACTGCTGTTCTATAGAATTTTCTTTTTAACTTAAAGGGGATGCACTACGCCATTTCATCCACCCTGCTCTGATTCTATGATTTACATCCTCATCAATCTCTCCACCTTTTTGCAAAATGGATCCCAGGTACCTAAAAGCATCTTTCTTGGGTACCTCTTGGCCAAGTAGGTGCACGGAATCTTGGTCTTCATCTCTTGCCAGAGAAAACTTACACTTCAAATACTCAGTCTTGCTCCGACTTAACGTGAATCCTTTAGATTCCAACGTGCTTCTCCACAATTCAAGTTTTCTATTAACACTGTCTTTGTTTTCATCAATAAGCATAATAGCATTTGCAAAAAGCATACACCATGGCACTTCCTCTTGAATATTTTTTGTTAGTTCATCCATAACTAAGGCAAAGAGATAAGGACTTAGAGCCGAACCTTGGTATATACCTACCTTGATAGGAAAATAACTTGATGTTTCATTACAAGCTTTCACACAAGTAGTAGCCCCATCATACATATCCTTGATTGCCTTTACATACTTTGATGGTACTTTTTTCTTCTCAAAAGCCCACCATAAAACATTCCTTGGAACCCTATCATATGCTTTTTCAAGATCAATGAACACCATATGTAAGTCCTTCTTCTTTTCTCGATATCTTTCCATTAATTGTCGCGTCAAGAAAATGGCTTCCATGGTACATCTTCGTGGCATAAATCCAAATTGATTTATAGAAACCTTGGTGTCTCTTCTCAAGCGATGTTCAATAACTTTCTCCCACAACTTCATAGTATGGCTCATTAGCTTAATGCCTCTATAGTTAGAACAATTATGTATATCTCCCTTGTTTTTGTAAATCGGCACAATCATACTTTTCCTCCATGCATCAGGCATCTTATTTGTCTGAAGAATCTTATTAAAAAGGTTGGTCAACCATTTTATTGCCACATCCCCCAGGCCTTTCCACACTTCAATAGGGACACCATCAGGTCCCAAGGCTTTATTAGTCTTCATCCTCTTTAAAGCCTCCTTTACTTCATGTGTATTAATTCTGCGCACAAATCTTCTATTCAAATCATCATAAGCATCCTCCAAGTCCACCTATCTTTTATCGCCATCCCCATTAAACAGCTTGTTAAAGTAGGTCATCCATCTTTCATTTACATCTTTATCTCTCACCAAAAGTTTTTGATTTTCATCCTTAATGCATCTAACTTGGGTGAGGTCTTTACTTTTCTTATCCCTTATTTTTGCAAGTTTATATATACCTTTTTTACCATCCTTACTCCTAAGATTTTTATACAAATCGGCGAAAACCTTGCCTCTAGCTTCCCGCACTGCTTTCTTTGCATTTTTTCTCGCCAATCTAAACTTTTGCAAGTTCTCTTCATTGGGACTTTTATGCAAAGATCTAAAGCATTCCTTCTTTTGTTTAATTGCCTCTTGCACCTCTCCATTCCACCACCATGTTTCCTTTGTATGAAATCCATTTCCTTTGCTTTCTCCCAACACTCTCCTTCCCATATTTTGAATACACATAGTCATCTCATTCCATATTGCATTTGCTCCTCCATCAAACTCCCAAAGTCCTTCATGCAACATTCCTTCATTGAACTCTCTATCTTTTTCCTCCTTAAGCTTCCACCACCTTATCCTTGGGTTTTGGTCCTTCTTCCTCATTGTAAGTACTTTGTTGAATCGAACCTCCAGGACTACCAGCTTATGTTGCGTAGCGACACTCTCTCCAGGGTAGACCTTACAGTCGACACAAGAAGTTCTATCTTCTCTTCTAGCCAAAAAGAAATCAATCTGACTACAATTATGGCCACTGTGATATGTGATTAGATGTGACTCCCTTTTCCGAAAAAAAGTGTTCGCTAGCATCAAATCGTAGGCTAGTGCAACATTCAAGATATCTTCTCCAGTCTCGTTTCTCGTCCCATAGCCAAAACCTCCATGAATTCTATCAAAACCTCCATTGCTTTTACCAACATGACCATTTAGATCTCCTCCTAAGAAAATCTTCTCCTCTCGTGGTATCCCCCTTAAAACCTCCTCCAAGTCTTCCCAAAATTGGCTCTTATCATTTGGTTGCAATCTAACTTGGGATGCATACACACTGAGATATTCAAGATTAAATCACCCATTACCAGCTTAACCAGATTAAATCACCCACTACCAGCTTAACCAAATTAAATCACCCATGGCCATTAACACTAGAAATAAAATAAGTAGAAATTAAAAATTAAAAAAGAAAAATATTAAAGATACAGAATAAAAATAAAGTGAAAATAGAGATAAATAAGAGAGAAAAAATACAGAAAAAGAAAAAAAGAAAAGAAAAAAAAAATAAATTAGAGGAAAAAATTGAATAAGAGAAGAAAAATTAAAGAGGAAAAAAAATTAAACAAATAAAGGTAAAGGAAAAAATAAAGGAAAATATAGGGGAAAACGACTGAAAAGGGACCATCTAGAACATAAGAAGAAAAACGGGTCTAACCCTCCACAATGCTAGTAGCTTTCCTCCAATCCGTCGCAAGACACACTGTCCGTCAATCTATATACCACTTAGGTAAAATATCTAAGCTGATTCTATTCAATCCCTAAGATTAAAGGATTTGATATCCCTCTTAAAATAAAATAATTTCCAAGAGATTTTCCACTCACCCTTAAGGTGTGTTGTTGATATTGATCATTTCCAGCTTGCTTATTAAATCTTCAAAGGCTAGTCTATTTAGGCTTTTATGGGCATGTATATTCTTGCTCTTTAGTAGGAATAAATGTCATACACACACTTCCATCATCTAACTTCTTGATGAAATGGCGGTCAACTTCCACATGCTTGGTGTTATCTTGGTAAACAAAATTTTGAGCAATACTGATCATGCCTCCTTATAGGTAAAGAGTAAGGGATACTTAGTTTCTCAAGGAGTCTTCTTAACAAATTCCTTGACAAATGCCATGAGTTAGTGCTCGAAATTCAACTTCAACACTACTCCTAGCCACCACTGGTTTCTTTTTCTCTAACAGCAGGGAAAGTAAAATTAGGGCATATCATGTAAATGGTAATTCTAATTATTCTTAAGTAACTTTTAAGCAATTAGTACAATTACGTTTAGTTTGAGATCTCCAATCGATTAAGATTAGGTCACATACAATCCGAATAATATCATATAGTAGTCAAGAGAGTTATCTTTGCATCAAAGTAACAAGCTTCTTGTTGGACTGTTAGTATTAGTAATTATTTTGTTGGAGGTTTGCTTGTTTTGCGTATGGAAGCTCTGGGAAAATAAATTTTGTATAGCTATATTAATATTTTTTTTTCAAATCTTTGTGAAGTGATATTGATCAATGTTTACTGATGACAGGCTCACACAGTGCTTGAGATGAACTATACCGAGCAGCAACTAACAGCGGCTGTTGTTTCAGATGGATTACGACCAGTCCTTGCTACTGAGGAGTTGGGTATACCATCAAGATTATTGTCAATGATACAAAAGTGCTGGGATACAAATCCTAAAAGAAGACCTTCCTTTGATGATATTGTCAAGGAGCTTGATTTTATAATGGAGCACAGGACGACAAAGAAGGCAGAAGATATGCATATCAGACCTTGCAACTTGCATGTTGATCAACTTGTGGATGAGACCAGTTACCTTCCTGCTTGTCAAGAGAGTATTAACTGGTCCACTCAAGGTGAACTTTTTGCCAGGAGTTCCTCTAGTGCCACTGATTCTTGTTTGAGAACATGGCGTGAGTCTTATGACGACCCTTTAGTATACCATCCAACACTCTCTTGGGGATCTTATGCTACCTGTGGGAGAAGGGAGACTATGGAGGACACACATTTCGTTCTGCCCCATATTTGCAATGAAAATGATGTCTATGCTTTTGGTATCTTTGATGGCCATAGGGGTATGTATTAGTGATTTAATAAGTATCTGCATTTTGTTTGATTCAAATTTATCATTCATGGAAATTCCTTTTATTTTTTTGTGAGATTCTCTTTTGCTATGCTTGGGCATTCTTATAGAAGAAAAATGCAGTGCCTAGTATGTTGAAAAGTTGTCGAAAATTAAAAGAATTTGAAATAGTATTCTAACAAGCACAGAAATCTCTTTTTGATTTTATTTACATTTACATGCACCTTTATCCTACTTCTGAACAGTAGTAAGGGTGCATTTGTTTCAAGTTTGAAATAAAGCGCATTTATGATATAGTTTTTATAAACCCACAAAAAGAAGCAACATATGGAGTAGTGATTAGTCTATTGTCTAGTTTCTTTTTGATGAAGTGGTGGCGATCCCAATATGTTTTGTTTGGTTGTGCTGGACGGGATTGTGTGCTAGGTAATTTAGCAAGATGACTGGAACAATCATCAGCCTGAAGATCTGGTTGAAATGTTGCATGACCATGCCCTCGTTGGAATGATTGTAAGTGGAAATGTCCTGGCAAGCAATTATACACACTAAGAACTAAACTTCTTCTCCAGCTGATCAATAACACCATTTGGAAGCTCCAAACCACTTGAAAACTTAGGAGATGCAAAAATGAAATAGAGGCTAGACAATACAATGAACCTAGACAAGTATGTGCAATGAATCTAGACATAATCAACCTAGACATGGTTTTCAACAATGACCATTCATGGTAATGTTATAGCTTAATAAGCATGATTGTTACTTGTGCAGGTGCAGCAGCTGCTGAGTTTTCTTCTAGAGCTGTACCAGCAGTTTTGCAAACTTTAGATTTTATCGGAAGGTATATTTCACTCTAGATGTCCCCTTTCCCATCCTCGCACTTTTTCCCCATTTGTGTCTTTTCTTAGTTAATTCTTTAATATATAAATGCAGCCCTGCTAATGCACTAGTGGAAGCATTCCTTAAGACAGATGCTGCCTTCAGAAAAGAGCTTGATTCCTTTCGTAAAACCAACAGATGTATGCAGAAGGATTGGCATCCTGGTTGTACTGCAATTGCTGCTCTTGTAGTCAGGAACAAGCTATTTGTTGCTAACATCGGTGATTGCAGGGCAATCTTATGTCGCGCTGGTAACTCCATTGCTCTAAGTAAGGTGAGCTGAAAATTACTATCAACTGTTAGCCGGTACTTATTACTATAAAAGATTATTTAATTTATTCCTTAAAGTTTTTCATGTAGACTGATCAAATCTTTAACATTATTAGGATCATGTTGCAAGCTGTCTTGAAGAGAGAGAGCGCGTTATTCGTCATGGGGGCCACGTACATTGGCAAGTTGATACCTGGAGAGTCGGCCTTCCAGCGCTTCAGGTTTGTTCAAATTGGTTGCTTTGGTGTATGTAATATGTTCGGAAATGCCGGGATATATTTGTTTCTTCCACATGCATGTTGTGAATCTAGGACCTGAGCTCATGTTTTCTTTTAAGTATCCGCATTTTCATTTTACTCTATGAAGTTTAGTATAAATTAATAAGGAGGTTACTATGGCCTTCTTGACATTGCTTTACACAATTTGCTTGTGGCGTTGAATACTTTGGCTACCAATGATATATTTTCATGATGAAAGATTTGTACGGGCAGGGGAAGCAATGTTCTTCTTCATTTCAATTACAAATATTTACGCTTCCTTTATTGGGGGCAGTTCATTGTCTTACTGAGCTGTCTTTATTCTCACATGAATTCCAACTCATGCTAACCTATTATCTTGTACATAATTGAGAAAGTAGTGGTGCAATCACATATGGCAGGCATTCAAATGTGACACTAGTTGTCACGTAGATACAGTATTCTGGTAATATAAAGCTCTTGCTCTACGCAGGGGAAGGGTCTATTGTAGTAAGCCTTACCTTGCATTTGCAAGATGTTGAATACATGAATCAAACCTGTGTTCTCTGGATCACATAGTGATAACACTAACTGTTGTCTACATGCGGTATTCAATTTAAGTAAAAATAATTCTTACTTTCCATTTCCAAAAGTAACTGGAATATATCCTGGAGGAAAAGGTTATTGGCTGTGTGCTTATTTGACAAATTTCCTATAGGGTAGTGGGAATATAGTGTCAGGAATGCCTACAGAAAATGGGTTGTACAATTATTTTTGGGTTGACATCTTTTGTATGAGTCGTGCACTCTGGTATTACTTATGGAAGAGAGCTGCACCTAGCCATTCCTGATTGATGCATATTTTTACATCCCCAATTGGTTCAATAAAGTCTGCCCTCTTTGCTTTCTCATTCCCTTTGTTTCAAATTCTGGCATAGATGATGTTGTGTTAATAAAATAATATAAGCAGGAATTGACTGATATTAATGGTGATTTGAGCCTTTACCTTTTGTTGCTTGCAAGTATAACAAAACATTTTTTTTTACACAGGTTACTCGTTCTATTGGTGATGATGATCTGAAGCCCGCTGTAACTGCAGAACCTGAGATTGCCGAGAGTACCTTATGTGCTGAGGATGAATTTCTGGTGAGGAGTTTTATGCTACATACTGTTATTTGCATGAATTTTCTGATATACATTGTGTCTTTAAATAAGTAGCCAGTTCAAGTATCTTGAAAATTAAGTGTGCATATAAGTAACAGATGATCATTGGATTCGTAATCTTAGTGATTATATTTATGGATAGGCTTCAAAATTTCCAATTGAAATTGCGGGCAAAGAATGAAGGGCGTTTATTGAGTAATGGTTTTTTTAGTTAACCCTAACTTATTATGTGCACCTGAATAACTAATTTATAATTTATTAAAGTTCCCTTAATGAAATATTAAGGCTTGATACCTTTTTATAGGTATATGTCAATATGTATCATCTTCATATTACCCTGGTGCTTCTGATACTTGTTTTGAAACAGTTTCTTCCATTTATAATTAGGCTATTAATAATTTTTTTGTTTTAGGTCATGGCTAGTGATGGTCTCTGGGATGTCATAAGCAGTATGGACGTTATAAATATAATAAAAAACACTGTTAAAGAGCCTGGAATGTGCTCTAAGAGGTTGGCTACAGAAGCAGTGGAACGTGGTAGCAAAGACAACATTACAGTTATTGTCGTTTTTTTACGCCCTGTATCCACAGCAGAGAGAATTTATTAGCATACCTTCCTTTTGAACTCTGGTTGAGACTTGTCGTAGATAGAAGTAATTTATATTCCTTTATATTCTTCAGATACCCCCATACCCATTTGATGATTGATTCAGTTGATTGTAGAACTATCCTGTATTGAACCACCCTTCGAAGTGTGGTTCTAATTTGCACAAGACTTTAAATCATGTCCTACCATCTTGTGACTTTGTCTATCTATTGCATGATTTCACTTTTGCAACAAATTTCATAAAATACAACATTCAAAATCTGGATTATCATCTGATAGGGTACCAGGTATGAAAACACTTTATAGGAACTTGAAAATTACTATAGAAATTTAGAAATGATGTAGACTAAGAATAGAGAACGGCAACCTCTACTAAAAAAGTTGCAGAAAATAAAGAGGATAAATGCTAGAGAGCTGTAGATGTGCAACTCTCCGACTCATTCACCCAACGAGTATCGATTTCTATTAATTATTCTCTTCCTTCCCACTTTTCATCTCACCCTTGCATTCTCGTATATAAGGTTATCAATTCACAATTTAAGTTGTAGACAACGAAAAATAGCTTCAAATATAATACGTAAGTGTTATATAATTTTCAACGTGGTCATTTTTTTTTTAACCGATCTTGATTACTTTTTTGAGACGAATCGGATTCTCCGTATTTCTATGAGTTTGACTTTTTGAGCCGCCTATGAGACTAATCCGAAATTCAGGATTGGTCGATGATTAAGATTTTATATTTCTCTCCAAGATTAATTCAACGTGATCATTCTCTTTTAATTGAAGTTTGCAATTCATGACATTAGTGTAACTGATAGAGCCTGGCTCTAAGAGAAGAGAACATATGAAGCAAAACACTGATTCAGTTATTATTTTGATATGTGACTCTTACCCTACCATGGTTAATTACAACCCTAAACAACTATACAACATAAAGGTGTAACAAAAAGCAACCACTAGCAGAACTAACAACATAAATGTTACTAACAATAGAAACATCACTAAGCAACTGGCTCCCAACTCTCCTGCTAAATTTTACAATTCCACGTGGACTGCTAATAAGCCCCATAATACCAACAATCCTCTTAAGCCTCCTCTCAATTGTAACACTAATTTCCCCATTGAAAGCGACCTTAACCACAAGGTCTACATCCGGATAAAAACAGCGAAGGTCATCCTCATGCTCCCACGAAGCATCCTCAGGGAGAGAATGAGAATTTTGGACTAACCATTGACGACTTTCTCGACCTTGCAGGGATGTCATATGCGATTTTAGAACAGCAATAGGTGTCTGCACCAGTTGTTTCTTGTGACTATAAGCTAGTAAATTTATCACCTTCCCCTCAAGTTGGCCATCATAGTTATCAAATGCGGATTGTGGCATGTCGCGGCCAATCCCGAAAAATGCTAGAGTTATAGCGGGTTGCGGTTACGGAAATAGCGGAATAGATATATGACAAAAATAATGACAAAAAGAAACAATTTTTAAAGGCAGAGATAGCAGAAGTGACAGAGAGAAACGCGGATAGACTAAAAAACCCTTAAATTTTTTCAGTTACACATTTAAATTTAGGACAAAATTGCCATTTTGCCTTATGACAGCAATATGGCCGCAAATGCGATCGTAATGGCCGCTATTGCGTTCAAGTGCAGCGCGACGCGGTTTCTTGCGGAGAGGTACCACAACGCCCATACGGCACTTGCGGCGCAATTAACTACTATGTTGGCCATTGTATTGTTTCAACACATAAATATGGAAAGAAAGGTGAATGTGGCACCCCTCTGGCATGTCCAATTGATACGCCACGTGACTCAAAACACGCTTCATAGGAAAATGCCTAAAATATCGTTTGGCGAATTTCTGGTTGTTGCTTCGTGTTACAGAAACTTGGCTATATGGTTGGAGCTTGACAAGCACCAAGTCTCCTACAACAAATTTCTTATTGCGGTGATGCTTATGAGCTAAAAGTTTCATCTGAATCTGAGCAGCTTGCAAATGTCATTTTAGACTAGCAATCAGTTCATTCTTAGGGTGTGTTTGGTACAAGAGAAATTTTTTTGTGTCCAGAAATCATGATTTCCAGTAATATAGAAAGAAATTCAATTTACCGGGAATGATATAAAAAAGTTTTTTGGTAGACATAAATATTATCGGAAATATTTAATAATTTTACTGAGTATATGTTTGGTTGTTAGTAAAATATTACCGGTAATATATGATGATTTTACAAAACTAACCTTAACTTTTCAAAACATATTCTTCAACGGGTATTGATGTGTGTTGGGGGTATTATTGTCTCAAAAATATGTTGATCTGCTTTCCCTTCCCCTAGTAATCATGAAAAGTAATCCCAACATTAACTTTTCTTTGTAAAATGTTTTACCGGTAAACTTTGGATATCCGGAAATTGATTTTTAATACTTTTACCAAACATGGTAATTGGCGATTATCAAAGAAGGTTTACCGGTAATCGTTCTGATACCCTGGTACCAAACACACCTTTAAGGAAAAGTAAGGCATCTACTGTAAGATTCTAAGGGATCAATGCGGTTTGCTTATTATATAATGCCTAAAAAGGGGACATACCAATAGGGGAATGAATTGCAGTATTGTAATACAGTTCTGCCCTACCCAAATATAGAGACCATTTATGATTTTGATCGTGACAGAAGGCTCGTATATATTGTTCCAGATACCTGTTGCCAACAAAAGTAACGATGTAATTCCCAAGCAAAGCTGAACATATTTCGTAATGCAATCCACTTTAACTAGAATGATAGAGAACCCATTAGAAAAAAGGTAATCTTGTGATGAAGTTGAGTTGAGTGTGAGGTCTTCAAACACACCCTCTGGTATTGGCAAGAGGCCAAGCGGAGGAGTTATAGCAGTTTGGATGCATTGACAAATACGGAAGTGTTTCATGAAGGAAGTTTCATAGTACTTACACATGTGATCATAGTAAAAAGATAGCCTTAACTTAAAAGAGTTCTTGTAACCCTTGCATGACTACCCAAGGGAAATGAATGAGCTTCACTAATTGAGGATTGCCTCAACACAGAAGTGGGGCTGATAAGAAATATGCCTTTGTGGAAAAGAATTCCTTCCCTTTCAGAAATGGATGTATCCATTAACCCTCTCCCATGTAATTTTTGGTGCAGCTTAACAAAATAAGGGTACAAGACATTTTCCTCACAAACTTGATCCACTATGTTGAACGTAGGTTCATAGGCTAGTAACATGACAGATGCCATAGGATCGTCCTCATAACTTATGGATAAGGGCGTCTGCAACTACATTTGAAGCTTTCGCTTTATGTTCAATAGAAAAATCAAAACCCAGCAGCTCACACACATACTTTTGTTGTTCAGGAGTTGAAATCATATGAGTTAATAACTCTTTGAGATTTCGATGATTCGTCTTAATAACAAACTTAGAGCCCAACAGGTAATGCCTCCTCCTCTTTACAGCCTAAATAACTTCATAAAGTTCAGACACGTATGTTGAAACCAACTGTGCTCTTACTAAAATTTGAAATGGGCTTTTCTTCTTGGATTACCACTGCCCCTACTCCAAAATTGGACGTGCCAAACTCAATAATAAAGGGCAAGGAAAATTGGAGTCTTAGCCATAGTTGCCTGAAGCGCCATGAAAGCATCCTTTGCATCTTGTGACCACTTGAAGGAATCAACCTTAAGCAAATCAATAAAAGGAGTATCCAAGCGAGCTATGATGAGATCATGATCACAAGGACTCAAGCTCACTACATGACTATGTCCTAAAACTGTTCCTAGTCCAGAGTCACCAATGAAGGGTGTTGGTCATCTCAATTAGCCTAGTACGATAGTGGGTCATTTACATGGAAATGTAAGGAATAGACCTCATGAGTGCAGGCATGGAGACGCCTTGACCTATGACGTGGATGGATTCGTAGTAGACCGTGTCATACCGAATTTACTTGTCGAGAGACTCCACTGGGAAACTTATAGAATTATCATTGAATCAGTAACATGCCCTTTTGTTTAGTTGTGCGGATCATCCTCAGACTTGAGACTGTTATCATGCACTGTGTCTGAAGGTCATACTTTAGGGTACAACTCTATCAACTTGAAAGATGGGAAGAACAATATACTTACGGGTATGACCGGACGACATGAGTGTACATGAACAGGCTGAAATAATTCCTCATCCCCCTATAAGGAATTAGTTATCCACAAGACCGGTGGGACTTGGATGACTTCCACATAACTCGCGAATCTGTGCAAAATAATAGATCATGAAAGAATTCATGGCTCTTTCTTAGAGTTTATAGAAGAAGACTCCCTATCTTGGCAAAGCTACTATTGGTCAATAAAGAGATGATACTACTTCTTTGCTCTTCACATAAGAAGTTGATGAACGAGATGAAAGGATGGATCCAGCTAAATCAGTAAATAGATCGCATGATCGATTAGTTCTAGGGCCATAAAGCATTGCTAGTGCTACGTGTAATCATTGGATGGGTTGAACTTCATAAAAGAGTTTATGAAGGCTCCAAGGCTATTTATGTCGGTGGCTAATTGGGTCTAATGAGTAATCCACCAATATCACCTCGTTGGCAGTACCAAGCGTATATTTGGGCCTTGATTAGCTTAGGGACCTTATGAGATACCATTTTAGGTCTCAAGCCTGAAGGCCCATGGGCTAGACCTTTAGTCCTAATGGGCCGACCCGTGGGCTAGGCTCACGGGTAGGCCCATGGCCTTGATAGGTCAGGCTCATGGACCTCATGGGTTACATATGTGAACAAGTGGGCTAGGCTTGTAACGTGCGATGTCGAACCCACGCAAATTACTGAGCTTTAGGTTTGTAGTGATAGGGCAACTCGGATCGTCTCCCAAAGAACATGCTAGAAATCAGAAACGCTCTTGTAAAATATAATATAAAAGGGGAAAGAGGATTTTGTTGATTTGAAATTTGAAATTTAAATAAAAACAGATTTGAAATTTGGATTTAAAAATCAGAATTAAAAAGCAATCAACCTAAGGAATCAGGATTCATTAATTTATTTCGTTATTGGATAAAAATATATTTATCAATTCGTGATTAACCCCAATTGAATTCGGAATCCTCAAATTCAATTGGAAACCCTTTCTAGACTATTGTCTAGCGTTTGGTTGAATACAATATCTCAACTATGCGAT